GTGATCATGTTAGAGATTTAAAACGATCCTGTTTGATGTGTATTTGTTAGAGATTTAAAACAATCCTGTTTGAGGTGATCATGTAAGAGATTTAAAACGATCCTGTTTGAGGTAATCATGTTAGAGACTTTAAAACAATCCTGTTTGATGTGATCATGGTAGAGATTTAAAACGATCATGTTTGGGATGATCATGTCAGAAGACAACGTGAAACTGAAGAGGGCATACGAATGTGTCGAAACCAGTTTCTCCAATATCAAGACTTCTGACAGTTTGTTCCATTTACTGTTTTGTTTTTACTTCTTTATATATTTTTCTACTCAATCCTGCATGTATAAGATTGAGAAAATTTAAACATCTTTCATTCACATTATTGATAAAATTGGTATAACTTAAACTACCTGCAGGAGAAGCGTGTCTGTACAATGGCGTCGTTGGAATCTTTAGGTAATGATAACCTCAACACGAATGGTTCCAGAAATAGTAGAAACAAGCTATATATAATTAGTAGCTTTTCAAGAAATCTCTTCATCAAACAACTCCACTACAAGCCAGTAGGTGTAAGCTAATAAAACGAATTTAAATTTGGCAAGAAAATGGACATCTGACAAGATGATTGGTGTAAAAGATGGAGGGGTAACAAAGAAAAGCCTGGAAAAAAGGAAATTTGGATTATTTCTATTTAAAAGGACGAAGTGACAGACTGGAGAGACAAAGAATGAATAGAAAGTTGATGACAAACATTCATGAAGGAGAAGTTATTCGTGTGTTTCGAATTGAAAAGAGATTCTATCACAGTAGATCTTAATAAATGGCCCCCGCGTAAAAACACACACACGGCAGCTTTTAGTTAACAATCGTTTGGATTATTAGAAACTGTTTTTAGGAAGACATTTGGAAGGTAGTGGGAATAAGCTTAGTGAAACATGTGGGGAAGTCATTACGATAATGGCATCTTGTCGTCTAATGACTTTTAATGAGCTTTATATGTGTCGAGCTCGTAACTTATGGATCTTAAGTAGGCAGTATCTAAAACTGTATAGTTCTTTACAAGCAAACTTAGTTTCGAAACTATAACAAACAGCATATCCGGAGCTCAGTATCGCGAAACAAAATGGCGGCTTCTTATTACACACACAGATATATATATAACTTAGTTAGACTTAACCAAAGCAATAGATACAGCTACTATGAGAATTCAGTGCGAAAGGAGAATAATAGATATTAGATATATATAGATATATTCCATTTGAAAAGGGAACCGACTGATAGTGGTGATAAATAAGACGTTTGGACATTAAATATCTGGCGTCAGTGATGGCGTAGGTCTCTGTTAAGTCCTGCTTTCGGTAAGTTGATAATAGTAATTTTTTCGGCTTGACGTCGAAACGCTGGTCCAGCCATCTATAACGTTTGATTTGTATATTTTTTTGAATATTTTGCCCATTTTTCGTACATTATAATCATTGTAGTTTTGAACTATGAAGATATCCATCTGTTGGAATAATTTAATTAATTTAATTTGCTTACTCTGAATCTTATATTATTATCTGACTTTGAGCATCGTATCAATTTTTGCATAATCTATTTTCTGATCGATATTTTAGTAAAACCTTAGAAATTAACCTAGCCCTAATTATTTCTACCTTGGTATCTACTTCTATCTAGGTCTGAAGTGGTCTAGTGACTAGTGTACTCGGACTTCGAAGCTGTTAGCGAGGAAAATACACTTCGTACTTTGAGGGTGTGCATGCACTATAAGCGTGACTGTCAACTCCTTCTACTTGGACAGACAAGAGTTAGCGGTTGGCATTGTTGACTAGCTGCTTTCCCTCGAGTTTGTCTTACATTGTTGACTAGATGCTTTCCCTCGAGTTTGTCTTACATTGTTGACTAGATGCTTTCCCTCGAGTCTGTCTGGCATTGTTGACTAGCTGTCTTCCCTCGAGTCTGTCTGGCATTGTTGACTAGCTGTCTTCCCTCGAGTCTGTCTGGCACTGTTGACTAGCTGTCTTCCCTCGAGTCTATCTAGCATTGTTGACTAGCTGCTTTCCCTCGAGTCTGTTAGTTCGTCATTAGGGGCGGCTACTCTTGTGTGCGAAAATTCTGAGTACTTCTGCCTCGTTAAACGAGATATTATTTTAATTTAATTTATTCTAATTTCAATCCACTTTTGAGCTCCGCTAAGTTCAGAAGTTGCTCGTAAATGATCAGGGTTTGGTAAAAAAGCTTTAAGATTGATTAACGTAACCATGTTAAAAATAACAACGTAATCTGTTTACTTGACTATTACACAGAAAAACATGAGCAGTGAATATAAAGAGAAACAGGCTCGTTGCTCTCAGATCAAAGATAAGTAGCTAATACTTTTCAGTAAATTCTAGCTTTAAGCAGAAAAATGAGAAGCCACTGTTTCAGTATATTATGCTCTGTGTAAACCATCCCAGACTAATGACATCGCCAGGTTTTTAGATGAGTAAGGAGAATTTATGGACAGCTCTTTATTTAGAATCAGAATTTCTTCTTCTGATATTGATTAATGGAGATTACGGCAGATGACTCGCTCATATTCGTTGTTCTACATTAAAGTACGATCATTTACGTGCAGTTGGTAAACCTAACGTGTACATTGGTATCTTAATCTTTTTTTTTCTGTTTCGTTCAGTCATTTTGATGTGTTGTTTTTCTAGGTTGCAAGCACGCCTGAATTCTGTTGTTAACATTTAATTTCCTTCAAATGATTTTAGTGAATCGGGTTCTGAATATACGATTTAACAGCGAGTGACCCCAAAGGAATTTTTTAACATGAACAATACTTAATGTGTAAGTGAGTTACACAGACCTCTATAGAGAAGGCAGCCAACCAGCAGCACTCGCCGCCACAAGGGTTTTGAACGGCTCTTTTAACTGAAAAACGGGATTGACGGTCACTTTTAAAACGCTGAAAGTACGGAGCGTGTTCAGCGGCATCACGTCTAGAACCACGGACTCTCTGATCCACAGCCCTAAACGCTAATAGTTGGATTACGCCCGGGCAATCTAGAAGGACTCGTGATGAGGAACAATAATTCGTTGCAACACACTTACAACTTTTATATTTTGCAATCTAGCATTACAGTTAACAGTAACTGATTCTGATGTGCTAATCTTTCAGGTGAAAGGAAACACATCAGGCCTTGAAAAAATAACAGTAACTGATTCTGATGTGCTAATCTTTCAGGTGAAAGGAAACACATCAGGCCTTGAAAAAAAATAACAGTAACTGATTCTGATGTGCTAATCTTTCAGGTGAAAGGAAACACATCAGGCCTTGACAAATTAACAGTAACTGATTCTGATGTGCTAATCTTTCAGGTGAAAGGAAACGCATCAGGTCTTGTAAAATTAACAGTAACTATTGTTGACGAATGTGAAAGTTCCAATCTTTCAGGTGAAAGGAAACACATCAGGCCTTGAACAAATTAACAGTAACTGATTCTGATGTGCTAATCTTTCAGGTGAAAGGAAACACATCAGGCCTTAAAAAAATAACAGTAACTGATGTTGACGAATGTGCAAGTTCCAATCTTTCAGGTGAAAGGAAACACATTAGGCCTTGAAAAAATAACAGTAACTGATGATTATAAGGTTTTTTTTTAATTTGTGTCGAAAAAGTAGCGAAGACAATCTTATCTTTTTTTTTATCAAGTTTCTGAATCTAACGTAAGAGCTAAAAGATAGTAAGGGTCGCGGGTTCGAATCCCCGTCACACCAAACATGCTCGCCCTTTCAGCCGTGGGGGCGTTATAATGGGACGGTCAATCCCACTATTCGTTGGTAAAAGAGTATCCCAAGAGTTGGCGGTGGGTGGTGATGACTAGCTGCCTTCCCTCTAGTCTTACACTGCTAAATTAGGGACGGCTAGCGCAGATAGCCCTCGTGTATATTTGCGCGAAATTCAAAACAAACAAACAAACTAAAAGATAGATTTCAAATATAAAAATTGTATTTTATTTTTTTCTTAAAATCTTCGTTCTTCTTCTGCTAATGGAAAAATCGTTATTTTGTATTTGTTCATGGTTGATTCATATCAACAGTTGATTGAAGTCCAACAGTGTACTTAATCTAAGACAGTGACAGTTAAGACCACTGAAGCTCTACATCGGTGACTAATATTGCACCTTATTCAACTGTGCAAAATTTATTCATTTTGTGTTCATCATTTCAGTAGACAGTTCATCTTGTCAACAGTTCGTGTGCAAACTGAATCTGGCCAATATTTATTTAAAAAATCACACCTTATAGACATCGATTCTAAATTGAATCTGGTCAAAATTTATTAGAAGTGTATCTCGCCAAGATGTATCGCGTGTTACATCTGGCTAATATCTATGAACATTGCATCCTTTATAACATATGTTCTTAATACATCTTGCTGCCTTATCGAAATTTTGTTCTGCTTCTTCTCTTGATATTCGTTTTTATCTCATTTTATACGTTTTGCACAAGTAGAAAATCATTTCGTACATATTGCTGCATTTTTTTTGGTTTTATCGTAGTCGGGCTTATCTTCTGAGTGACTTTTAAATCTGACGTGGTTGACAAATATATACTTTAATTGTAGTCAACGGACGCATTCGCGTGTCGTCATTTGCACAAAATTGTTTAAATTATCAACTTCTTGTGTATACATCTGAATCACGTGACGTAAAACAAAAAATCGTGAAGAGAAGTTAGAAACGGAGTTCCTCGGACACTAGGAAACAGTTACTGGGATACGATATTGTCACTGTTCTTGGCAGATTAAAATTCTTTGGTAGGATATTACTTTCAACTTATACAGCGGGCTACCTAAAAAAAGATATTCAAATAACACTTTTTTTTATTGTGCAGTTCTTATTAACACCGATCCGATATCATATGTATTAAGTGGAGAACTTTTATATAGGGGGCGCTGAAGAACAACATATGTATAAGGAGAGCCCACGCGAAACCCTCCAATAAAAGACTCGATTATTTCTAGCTGAAAACGTGCGTACTAGAAAGCTCGATTGACAAGCGCAAGTTTCCCGCTTAAGTACCAGATAAAATACTTAAACAAGGTGTCATGAACCAGAAGATAAGCTAAAATTCTGCTGGACACGTTTCTTACAGACCTGACATATTACGAGTGGGAATTAACTAATTACTCATTTGTCCCTGCACAGATTAGATCGGAAATGGTCAAATTGTATCCTTGTTTAGCTTTAACTTGTACCTTGGTGTTGATACTTACTGATAACGTCATGGAAATTGGACGATCTGAAAACTACGGTAGGCATAATTGTGTTATTTAGTTATAATTGAAGCGAATATTTTGTAAACACCTTGCGTGTTATGTTATTGTGGAGAAGTAAATTATATTACACTCCAATAGTTATTGTTTCAAACATAGAGCATTGGTGCATGATACCAATGTGTCACGTTCTTCTGTTCTAAATGTGTTGTATGTTATTAGGTTGTATTATAACAGATAAATAGCACAGTTGTCTTACGTAATTGCTATTTTATAGTTATGTGAAAAAAGAACTAAAGATTGTTTTAACCGTTCTGATTTATAATGTTGAGAAATAACTGAATCTACATAATATTTTAAACCTTTGGTGTTGTATATTATTAGGACAGAATTGAAAGCCACGGAATATTTTAACACTTTGGTGTTTTATATTATTAGGACAGAACTGAAAGTCACAGAATATTTTAACACTTTGGTGTTATATTGTTAGAAAAGAACTGAAAGCCACGGAATATTTTAACACTTTGGTGTTATATTGTTAGGACAGAACTGAAAGCCACGGAATATTTTAAACCTTTGGTGTTTTATATTGTTAGGACAGAACTGAAAGACACATAATATTTCAACACTTTGGTGTTATATTGTTAGGACAGAACTGAAAGCCACGGAATATTTTAACACTTTGGTGTTATATTGTTAGAAAAGAACTGAAAGCCATAGAATATTTTAAACCTTTGGTGTTGTATATTATTAGGACAGAACTGAAAGACACAAAATATTTTAACACTTTAGTGTTTTATATTGTTAGGACAGAACTGAAAGACACAGAATATTTTAACACTTTAGTGTTGTATATTATTAGGACAGAACTGAAAGACACAGAATATTTTAACACTTTAGTGTTTTATATTGTTAGGACAGAACTGAAAGACACAGAATATTTTAACACTTTAGTGTTTTATATTGTTAGGACAGAACTGAAAGACACAGAATATTTTAACACTTTGATGTTTTATATTGTTAGGACAGAACTGAAAGCCACAGAATATTTTAACACTTTGGTGTTATATTGTTAGAAAAGAACTGAAAGACACAGAATATTTTAAACCCTTGGTGTTTCATATTGTTAGGACAGAACTGAAAGACACAGAATATTTTAACACTTTAGTGTTGTATATTATTAGGACAGAACTGAAAGACACAGAATATTTTAACACTTTAGTGTTTTATATTGTTAGGACAGAACTGAAAGCCACAGAATATTTTAACACTTTAGTGTTTTATATTGTTAGAACACAACTGAAAGACACAGAATATTTTAACACTTTAGTGTTTTATATTGTTAGAACACAACTGAAAGACACAGAATATTTTAACACTTTAGTGTTGTATATTATTAGGACAGAACTGAAAGACACAGAATATTTTAACACTTTAGTGTTTTATATTGTTAGGACAGAACTGAAAGACATAGAATATTTTAACACTTTAGTGTTTTATATTGTTAGGACACAACTGAAAGACACAGAATATTTTAACACTTTAGTGTTTTATATGAATGGGGAAGAAAAGAAAGTTACAAAACATTTATAGCTCTTTGGTGCTTTGCAGAACTGACAGCTATAAATGTTTTTTTTTTCATTCCTTTGCGGTGCTGTAATACAAGGAAAACTGAATCTATATAAATATAATAGTACTGTCTGTTGTATGTCCATGTAACTACTTTATTAGGGTGTGGATGGATCCTCACCAAATTTGGTATGGAGGTTCATTAGGTCCACGCGGGGGTACATAGAAATTTTCAGTTTTGCATTTTGCGTTTTTTACCACTACCTCTCCTCCTGTGGATGGATCTTTACCAAATTTGGTATGGAGGTTCATTGGGTCTATGGAGAGATACATACAAAGTTGTGGTTTCACATTTTGTGTTTCGCAGTTTTTATAAGCGTTTTTGCGTTTTTTACAATTACATATAACGGAAGCAACTTTTCATGTCGTTAGATAACGTTTCATTAATCATGAGTTTACATAACTTCCGTTCAGGGGACGGGTACTCCAGCTAGTGTTTCAATATATTACATATTATATTTTTTGTTGAAGTGATCGCTGTATGTCGCTGTTGTATTTTATTGCTAGGAAGATCTGTGCTACAGTTTATTGCAGCTCATTTTTTTCGTATATTGTTAAGATGTGAGTGCTACGCTGTATTTTGTTGTTGTGTTATTTGTAAAGAACTTAGCGGTTTATAGCTCTGTGCTAAGTTCCAACACATTAAACATCTTTTCGTATATTTTGTAATGAAGAAACTGAATATCACGTTAAACAAATAGTAATGTTTGTTATATATATGGCTAACACGGAACATTCTTCCAACACCAACCTATCCGCTCTTATTTATATCTAACCCTTTTTCTACCAAGTTAACTACCCAGCTTATCCACCTACACTTTCACAGTCAATTTATATAACCTTATTTATATCTAACCCTTTTTCTACCAAGTTAATAATCCCAGCTTATCCACCTACACTTTCACAGTCAATTTATCTAACCTTATTTATATCTAACCCTTTTTCTACCAAGTTAATAATCCCAGCTTATCCACCTACACTTTCACAGTCAACCTTTCCACTATTTATATTTACGACACTTTTGTCATCATTTTTCCATCCTCCTTATAACAAGCTTTTACAATGATCTTCTCTTTCATCCCATACATCTACATAACCAATACTAACATGTTTATATACACATCCATTAATCACAACACAATCATTATACATCTGTTAGTAGTACACTGAAAATTACATCCACCTATTACACTGAGTAACACACTTACCTAATACACTGAATAACACACTTACCCAATATACTGGATAATACATCCGGCTAATACACTGGATAATACACCCATCTAATACACTCAGTAACACACCCATCTAATACACTGGATAATACATCCAGCTAATATACTGAGTAACACACTTACCTAATATGCTGGATAACACACTTACCCAATATACTGGATAATACATCCGGCTAATACACTGGATAATACACCCATCTAATACACTAAGTACTACACCCAGCTAATACACTGGATAATACATCCAGCTAATAAACAATGATGGCATACTTAAAAGTAAAGATTAAGGGCGTGTATTTTTCTTGTTTTTGTTTGTTTGTTTGTTTAGTTTAGCTAATTATTAATTATTATTAATTAGCTAATTGTAATGGAACGTAGTAGATTACAGTGCTTCGTAGCTTTTCACAGATTTAATTATATAACACAGTGGAACACGATACTTTATAGTGAAGAGTGATGTAACTTGGTGGAAATTGGTGTGATGTGTTATTGTGTGACGTCACATAGTACATGGTAGTGTGATGTAACTTGGTGGAAATTGGTGTGATGTGTTATTGTGTGACGTCACATAGTACATGGTAGTGTGATGTAACTTGGTGGAAATTGGTGTGATGTGTTATTGTGTGACGTCACACAGTGTATAGTAGTGTGATGTATTGGTGCGTGACGTCTCACAGTGTATGGTAGTGTGATGTATTGGTACGTGACGTCTCACAGTGTATGGTAGTGTAATGTATTGGTACGTGACGTCTCACAGTGTATGGTAGTGTAATGTATTGGTACGTGAAGTCTCACAGTGTATGGTAGTGTGATGTATTGGTACGTGACGTCTCACAGTGTATGGTAGTGTGATGTATTGGTACGTGACGTCTCACAGTGTATGGTAGTGTGATGTAACTTGGTGGAAATTGGTGTGATGTGTTATTGTGTGACGTCACATAGTACATGGTAGTGTGATGTAACTTGGTGGAAATTGGTGTGGTGTGTTATTGTGTGACGTCTCACAGTGCATGGTAGTGTGATGTATTGGTACGTGACGTCTTACAGTGTATGGTAGTGTGATGTAACTTGGTGGAAATTGGTGTGATGTGTTATTGTGTGACGTCTCACAGTGTATGATAGTGTGATGCATCATGAACCACGATAGTGTTTCATAATAGGGACGCAAGGAACTACAAAAAAAAACACTAATAGAACGTTCGGGCAAAAAGCACCTGAAACAATAAAGATTCAGTTCAAACAACACTTTAAAACCTTTACTATTGACTGCTTGGACTGTATACATATAAAAAGGCACAAAAAACACGCATGTTAGACATACAAGGAAAAGAAAATCTTCTCAAAACGTCATGTTTGTAATTCTTCTTCTTATTATTATTCCCTTGCCAATCTACAACAAAAACGGCTTGGTATATTGTACCCAAACCTTTTGTATAATACTAAATATGGTACAGCAAAGATGTAGGAGTATTGAAAATTGTATTTTTTTCTTGTATATTTTACATAAGCTAAAAAAAACATCATAATTCTTGTGTAAACGATGTTATCATTTCCCCCTTGAAGTTAGCTTTTTTACAAACATTTTGTGTTCCTTAAAAAAGTTTAAGTACAGGATGAAACAGAAATTACCAGCCAGTAATAGATGAACATTAGATGACTGTAACATGTAGATACTGGTAGATAGGTTTATTGGGTTGTTTTTTGTTTGACGATAATATCAATTCTTGGATTTATACATCTCAGCATTTCTTAGCGAAGTAGACACGACCTTCTGAAATATCGTATAAATAATATTGAAATAAGGCTACAGATGTAACAGAATGCTGTCAAAAGAAGAGACGTGGTCAAAGTATGGCCCGAACGACGTTTGATTGGAGGGAGTCAACCAGTTGATTCGGATTCAGCTAGCTTAATCCAAATACTGTAATGTGACTAGGCCTCAGGTCTGAGTGCTTCCTAGCGATCATTTCATCATCATGTTTAATTCAAAACCTTTCCGTTAGTCTGATTTCCACCCCGTTTCTTTTCTTCCTCTCGCTTCTTTGTTTTTGTATCTAGTTTCCAGACAACGTACAGGGCAGTTTATCCGCGAAGAAGCGATCTGTCTGTTTAATGTCGGGGGAAGGGGGTGGGGGTGAGGGTAGTACTTTATTCAGTTCTCTCACTATCTCCTCATAGAAATAAAAATACTTTTTTTTGTATACTACCTAAGTTTCGAATACTTCATTGATGATTCTAATTCATTATCTATTTGATAAAAGAGGTTATTGAAGTTAAAATTTGTTATGGTTTTAACCTCGTTTCTTTTAAAATTCATAGAGCCGATTCCCTATTATTTTCCAGAAATCAATCCAGTTCGTAAACAAGCCAAAACGAAGAACATCCAATTACGTTCTTCTGTCCCGGCCCATACATTCTCAACTAAAAGATGTATCATTATATCTATGAAAACGTTCTCATAGACTATACACGAATTGGTTTATTTTACAAGAATAATTTTGTTTATACGTTCAATGTTATCTTTCAACGCGACTGTCGTTGGAGATTCTTAGTGAAGGTCACGTATATGAACATTCGAAAACATTTTTATAGCTAAGTAACGAAATACAAAGACCAGAGATCAGACAAGCAGAGCATCACACTTATTACAGGTTTGTGTGTTGTTGTTGTTTTTTTAAAAAAGTTGTAAGGAAAGAAACTCTTAATTGTCGAGGGTGAATTGTTTCACAGCTCTTGTAACAGTGGACCACATATGAAGAACAATTTGTCAATTTCAACAGATACTATCTGAGATTTACTCATTTAACTTACAGTATAAGAAACCCTCCATTCAGAACTGTTGTTACACTTTGCATCTGGCGTAAAGTTTGTCTTAGCAAATCATATTTCCTCATTCAAAAATCCTTGATGGATATTCTTTACGAATGGTCGACCTGCCCGAAACGTGTACCAACAATGCGTTGTTCTATTTCTTGACAGGCCGTGATTTGTCACGGGACTACGTCAGTACTAAATATGAAGAAACGAGACTCGTTCTAACGTTAAAAACAATATACATTTCTTCTGATAAGGCACAAAAGGATAACTATGAAAAGGAAAGACTAGACGAAAAACATGAGGTCCATCTATCAGCTAAAACTAATCTGTGGAAATCTATCACAGTGACAGAGTTGTCACCAACATTTATTAATTCCTCATTGATAATCAAGTACTCAATTTGATTTCCTGTCAGACGGTTACACGTCAGAATGAGCAACACTTCTGGGATATAAATATTTATATCTATTTCTTCATCACTGTTTTTTAACATTTCATTCAACACGTAATTGTTCAATGCTTAATTTCTGAATACTGATTTCAAACTATTTAGATTTACTTATTGCCACAATCGGCTCTGGGTAGAAATAATTTTTAAAGCAAATTCCTTTTAGTTTATGTCACGTGATTGTTGACAATCTTCTACTGGCTCCAGAGAGAGTTATGTCACGTGATTATTAACTGTCTTCTACTAGCTCCAGAAGTAGTTATGTCACGTGATTATTAACTACCTTCTACTGGCTCTAGAGGTAGTTATGTCACGTGATTATTAACTGTCTTCTACCGGCTCCAGAGATAGTTATATCACGTAATTATTAACTGTCTTCTACCGGCTCCAGAGCTAGTTATGTCACGTGATTATTAACTGTCTTCTACCAGCTCCAGAGCTAGTTATGTCACGTGATTATTAACTGTCTTTTACTGTTTCCAAACGTAATGGACATTTTAATCCCAGAACATTTACTGCAAGGTTTAATATAGCTAGCTGAAGTTTGGCGTCGGACACTTTTGAAAAGTATGAGATCATTGGTATTGACATTTTCAACCTGAACGGAATCTTATGCGACACATGGGCTAAATGACCACGTCAGGAATCCCTAGTGCTCTAGTTAAACGGTTCTAAATATTGAACTACTGACCAGAAGGAGGACATCCAGTCAGCATCACTATCCGCCACAAGGGCTTTGAACCGAGTAAGGAGACTGACCGTCAATTTCACAAATGCGCCTATATCTGAGTACAGAACTGGTTTAGTAGCATCAAAACTTAGACCTTGGATCTTCTGTAACGAATCCCGGCTCGCTAACCATTAGGCCACGCCCAGCCTAAACAATACATTACATTAAAGACTCTTATAATAAAACATTTTGATGCAATTTAGATTATATCCAAGTATTTATCTTATAGTTTACGTTAGGATATAGATAGTAGTATTTAATTCATGGTTTGTTTTCTATTTTCAATTTCAATTACTCAGAATGATATTGAAGTACCCACACACAAAAGTATCAATCAGCTGTATGTATATATATATGTATATGTTGAATTTCATTGATATTATCTACTTAATTTGTCATTCCTAATTATAAATCATTAATGTTAAACATATAGTAACTTTTCAGGTTTAGAATCCGAGCCCATATTTACCGAGCCGGTATACAACATGACAGTGGCGGTGGGACGGACAGCCAACCTGAAGTGTGTTGTGGAAGGCTTAGGATTCTACAGGGTAAGGTTTGAATCTTAGCTTAAGTTAATACAGCGTTTCATGGTTAATTCATGGTTAAAGGGGGGGGGGGTACTTTCATGTCTGAAAGAGTTTAGTTAAATTCTCGGGTTTTATCCGAAACATAAATCTGTAAAGTTTCATGGTTAAAGTGAGGGGGGGGGGGTAATCTGGGAGAATTTTTCAAAGTATTTAGTTTAAACGTAACGGCTTTTCCCCTGCAATTTTAATCATTTAATATTCTTACCAAAACAAAAACCGAACTATTTTGCAAAATAACAGGTAAAGTATCGTAGCATAGTATATGTACACGATAAGCTTTTAAGCTTCCCTAATACTGACGGATTGTATGTAGTGTTTTCATTGTTGCTCTAAGCATTGTAACAAGAATAGAGTTAACGGCAGAGTTCTGTAACTGTTGCCAAAGCACTGCGCCAATACTGTACTTTGATACAATGTTATGAGTAGATGGATAACTGGTGATTCTATAAGTACTTGTAACGATGTTCTTAATCTGGACGAAGATGTTTTTTGTTTTGTTTTTATCAGTGCTATTTTGACAGCGTCCATTTAGTTACTACAGCTTAATGAGTTTTTGGTTTTATTGCTTTTTGTGTAAATAAGACAGAAAACAATAGAACTGATGGTAATACAGACTTAGAAAGAAGCAAAACTGAACGCATGAGAAACAGTTTGTTACTTCTCGGGAATTAAGAACGTTTGGATGTTCCTAGAATTTTTTGTTTTACTGACTTGACTATCGTTCACCGTATACGCGAACTTGGTTAGTGAAGAAGGCGGAAGATGGAGATCTCTAGCTAACAGACATTTCAAAGTCAGCCAAGAGGTACTTATCTCATTAGATATTTTCCTTTCAATAAATTGGTTCGGATTGATTGATTGGTTGTTTAGCTTCTATCGCTCACAAAAAGCCAAGTTGTTTCTTACACGAGTCAAGTTTTATTGAGACATACAGAGAGACTTGTAGTAGGTTTCCTCCTTCTGACAGCGATAGTATATTTAAGAAAAGTATCAATAGGTTCTTTTTTAGCTGTCTAGACCTATCATGTAATTCAATCAAGGTATAGATTGCCGTTGTCGGCTAAGAGCGAAGATATGTTGTTTGTGCAGGGCCACAAATATCCGACAACAGACAAAAAAAAGTGAGGGCCGTAAAATTTACTGCTCTGTGTTTATAGATAAGACATGTCCTGTAGAGTTTCGTCACAAAGAAAATAAAAGAACATTCTTCTGAACCACAACCAATAGAGTTGTTTTCTGTATTTAAAATGGGTTAAACATTTAGGGACATTCGTAGCGTTAGTAATCTTCTTATCACATTTCAGTCTTCAATATAAAAAATCACAACTGTATTTCTTTTGGACATTCGGTCTTTTTTTTAATATTTACTTTCTGAATGCTAACGTAATTTATACTCAATCATTTCACTTTTTTTTGTTTTAATAAAAAAACACCTGAAAGTCTGGATCTACAAGTGTTAATCTTTGAAAGTTTTCTACTTGTTGAGAATCCTTCACCTACTTAATAACTACCTGAGAGAGAGCTTGTAAGATTCGATTTTCTCTTTGTTACCATAACAACAGAACTATGACATCATGCCATAATACGGCTAACATGTTAAAAACAATTACATTTTTATCATAATCTTTTAAGTGCATAATAAGTTACCATAACAACAGAACTATGACCTCATGCCATAATACGGCTAACATGTTAAAAACAATTACATTTTTATCATAATCTTTTAAGTGCATAATAAGTTACCATAACAACAGAACTATGACCTCATGCCATAATACGGCTAACATGTTAAAAACAATTACATTTTTATCATAATCTTTTAAGTGCATAATTGAATAGAATACGTAATGTTACTGGTATGTTCAGTTATTGATAAATTGGCAAATTCGTTTAAAATAATTAGTTTTAGAAAATTATCCATCTAATTATTAAACTTTTGTCCAAACTTTTACAGACAACATTGAAACGTTAATATTGCTCTAAAGCCGATGGATTATTGTCTTTATTTGAAAATTTTCGGCCTTGAGGTTAAACTATAAATATTGAAATTATCACAACGTCGGTTGAATGTGGTTCTCTGTTAATAAAGTAATTATTTTTAATAATGTTATCTTGAAATGTTTCCCCGCTCGATAGTTAGATGTTGATCTGTGAAATAAAAATATTGAATACTGATAATAATAATAAAGAGGAATTTGAACAGATATTGTAACAGCACCTCTCAAAACCAATGCTTGCTGGTGAACTCATGACCCAAAAAGCTCACGAGTTCAGGAACTTTGGAGGGAATTGGTGTAACCCCATTTAAATAAGTTGTATTATTGGGGAACTTTGGAGGGAATTGGTGTAACCCCATTTAAATAAGTTGTATTATTGGGGAACTTTGGAGGGAATTGGTGTAACCCCATTTAAATAAGTTGATTATTGGAAAAGATTAAATATTTCAGGTCGCTTGGCTGAGAGTCGAGAGCAAAACTATTTTAACCATCCACCATCACGTGATAACTAGAAACTACAGAATAGACTTGAGTCACAGCGACCATCGAAACTGGATTCTCCACATCAAGAACGTCCAAGTGTCCGATAGGGGGGGCTACATGTGCCAGATTAACACTGTGCCCATGAAGAGTCAAGTCGGGTATCTAGACGTAGTTGGTAAGTTAGTTATTGTTTTGGATTTATCAATATGATTGTGTAAGTTCGTTAAACCCATGAAGTGTGGTGTTGAGTTTCTAGATGTTCTTGATGAACTGTTTAATAATTAGGGTTAAACAATACGATGTTCATACCATGGAGTATGATGTTGAGTTTCTACACGTTCTTGATGAGCTGATTAATAATTAGGGTTAAACAATACGTTACTCATACCAAGACGTGTGATGTTGAGTTTCTAGACGTTCTTGATGAACTGTTTAATAATTAGGGTTAAACAATACGATGTTCATACCATGAGGTATGATGTTGAGTTTCTACACGTTCTTGATGAACTGGTTAATAATTAGGGTTAAACAATACGTTACTCATACCACGAAGTGTGATGTTGAGTTTCTAGTGTTCTTTATGAGCTGATTAATAATTAGGGTTAAACAATACGTTGTTCCTAACATAGAGTGTTGTGTTGAGTTTCTAGACATTCTTGGTAAACTTATTGGTTCATTAATGAATCTACAAGAAATTTTATGCATAAGTAATTTATAAAAATGTTTTTAAAAAATGAAATGAGATTTTATTTGTAGACAAATGGTTGGATCTGAAATATTGTCATGGTTACGTTTTAATAAATATGTTGACTATTTTGAGGTTAATGTTTACTTATGCACTTTTAAAGTAGAACAAAAAGTTCAACCATCAAAAATCAATTTTTATGCATTTCTAACAAATGTAAGTATGTTAAAACATAACTGCCCTAAAGAACTGTGTGTGTTGTAAGTATGATAAAACATAACTGCCCTAAAGAACTGTGTGTGTGTGTTGTAAGTATGATAAAACATAACTGCCCTAAAGAACTGTGTG